AAAAGGCAGATTTGAAACTGGGCGGTAGTTTTTCAACTCCTCCTTGTCCATTGCAGGATTTTTTAACAACGGTCTGACATGTGCCTTCTTGGAACATAATGGAACCTTTGACTCAACCAATGATTTGTTAATGATTGCGGTAATCAAAGGAAGCAGTGCTTCAAGACATTGTCTTATGTATTATTACCCAATACACAGGTATATCTACCCATAGTACAGGTTTGTCTTATTACCCAATACACAAGTAGCTCTATACCTTCAGTACAGGTGTATCTTATTACCCAATACACAGGTTTAACTACCCACAGTACATGTATGTCTTATAACCTAATACACAGGTATATCTACCTACAATAAAAGTATGTCCTATTACCCAATACACAGGTATATCTATCCACAGTACAGGTATGTCTTATTACCCAATACACAGGTATTTCTATCCACAGTACATGTATGTCGTATTACTCAATACACAGGTATGTCTACCTACATTAAAAGTATGTCTTATTACCCAATACACAGGTATATCTATCCACAGTACATGTATGTACAGGTATGTCTTATTACCCAATACACAGGTATTTCTATCCACAGTACATGTATGTCGTATTACTCAATACACAGGTATTTCTACCTACATTAAAAGTATGTCTTATTACCCAATACACAGGTATATCTATCCACAGTACATGTATGTCTTATTACCCAATACACAGGTATTTCTACCTACAATAAAAGTATGTCTTATTAACAAATACACAGGTATATCTACCTCCAGTACAGGTATGTCTTATTACCCAATACACAGGTATGTCTACCTACAATACAGGTATGTCTTATAACCCAATACACAAGTATATATATCCACAGTACAGGTATGTCTAATTACCCAATACACAGGTATATCTACCCACGGTACAGGTATGTCTTATCACCCAATACACAGGTATATCTATCCACAGTACAGGTATGTCTTATTACCCAATACACAGGTTTAACTACCCACAGTACATGTATGTCTAATAACCTCATACACAGTTCTATCTACCTACAATAAAAGTATGTCTTATTAACCAATACACAGATATATTTACCTTCAGGACAGGTATGTCTTATTACCAAATACACAGGTATATCTACCTCCAGTACAGGTATGTCTTATTCCCCAATACACAGGTTTAACGACCCACAGTACATGTATGTCGTATTACTCAGGTATATCTACCCACAGTACAGGTATGTCTAATTACCCAATACACAGGTATGTCTACCTACAATACAGGAATGTCTTATAACCCAATACACAAGTATATATATCCACAGTACAGGTTTGTCTAATTACCCAATACACAGGTATATCTACCTACGATACAGGTATGTCTTATTACCCAATACACAGGTATATCTACCTTCGGAACAGGTATGTCTTTTTACCCAATACATAGGTATTTCTACCTACAATAAAAGTATTTCTTATTAACAAATACACAGGTATATCTACCTTCCGTACAGGTATGTCTCATTACCTAATACACAGGTATATCTATCCACAGTACAGGTATGTCCTATTACCCAATACACAGGTATATCTAACCACAATACATGTATGTCGTATTACTCAATACACAGGTATATCTACCCACAGTACATGTATGTCCTATTACCCAATACACAGGTATATCTATCCACAGTACATGTATCTCGTATTACTCAATACACAGGTATTTCTGCCTACATTAAAAGTATGTCTTATTACCCAATACCCAGGTATATCTATCCACAGTACATGTATGTCGTATTACTCAATACACAGGTATATCTACCCACAGTAAATGTATGTCTTATTACCTAATACACAGGTTTATCTATCCACAGTACAGGTATGTCCTATTACCCAATACACAGGTCCTTCCGTGCAGGTATGTCTTATTACCTAATACGCAGGTATATCTATCCACAGTACAGGTATCTCGTATTACTCAATACACAGGTATATCTACCCACATTACATGTATGTCCTATTACCCAATACACAGGTATATCTATCCACAGTACATGTATTTCGTATTACTCAATACACAGGTATCTCTAACTACAATAAACGTATGTCTTATTACCCAATACACAGGTATATCTATCCACAGTACATGTATGTCTTATTACCCAATACACAGGTATGTCTACCTACAATACAGGTATGTCTTGTAACCCAATACACAAGTATATATGTCCACAGTACAGGTATGTCTAATTACCCAATACACAGGTATATCTTTCCACAGTACATGTATTTCGTATTACTCAATACACAGGTATATTTACCCCAGTACATGTATGTCCTATTACCCAATACACACGTATATCTATCCACAGTACATGTATCTCGTATTACTCAATACACAGGTATTTCTACCTACAATACAGGTATGTCTTATAACCCAATACACAAGTATATATGTCCACAGTACAGGTATGTCTAATTACCCAATACACAGGTATATCTACCAACGGTACAGGTATGTCTTATTACCCAATACACAGGTATATCTATCCACAGTACAGGTATGTCTTATTACCCAATACACAGGTTTAACCACCCACAGTACATGTATGTCTTATAACCTAATACACAGTTCTATCTACCTACAATAAAAGTATGTCTTATTAACCAATACACAGATATATTTACCTTCAGGACAGGTATGTCTTATTACCCAATACACAGGTATTTCTACCTACAACAAAAGTATGTTTTATTAACAAATACACAGGTATATCTACCTCCAGTACAGGTATGTCTTATTACCCAATACACAGGTATGTCTACCTACAATACAGGTATGTCTTATAACCCAATACACAAGTATATATATCCACAGTACAGGTATGTCTAATTACCCAATACACAGGTATATCTACCTACGATACAGGTATGTATTATTACCCAATACACAGGTATTTCTATCCACAGTACAGGTATGTCTTATTACCCAATACACAGGTATATCTACCTTCAGAACAGGTATGTCTTTTTACCCAATACATAGGTATTTCTACCTACAATAAAAGTATGTCTTATTACCTAATACACAGGTATATCTATCCACAGTACAGGGATGTCCTATTACCCAATACACAGGTATATCTATCCAAAGTACATGTATGTCTTATTACCCAATACACAGGTATATCTACCCACAGTACATGTATGTCCTATTACCCAATACACAGGTATATCTACCTTCCGTGCAGGTATGTCTTATTACCTTACATGTATGTCGTATTACTCAATACACAGGTATATCTACCCACAGTAAATGTATGTCTTATTACCTAATACACAGGTATATCTATCCACAGTACAGGTATGTCGTATTACCCAATACACAGGTATATCTAACCACAATACATGTATGTCGTATTACTCAATACACAGGTATATTTACCCACAGTACATGTATGTCGTATTACTAAATACACAGGTATATCTACCCACAGTACATGTATGTCCTATTACCCAATACACAGGTATATCTACCTTCCGTGCAGGTATGTCTTATTACCTAATACACAGGTATATCTATCTACAGTACAGGCATGTCTTATTACCCAATACACAGGTATATCTACCTTCAGAACAGGTATGTCTTTTTACCCAATACATAGGTATTTCTACCTACAATAAAAGTATGTCTTATTACCCAATACACAGGTATATCTGCCTTCAGAACAGGTATGTCTTTTTACCCAATACATAGGTATTTCTACCTACAATAAAAGTATGTCTTATTACCTAATACACAGGTATATCTATCCACAGTACAGGTATGTCCTATTACCCAATGCACACGTATATCTATCCACAGTACATGTATGTCGTATTACTAAATACACAGGTATATCTACCCACAGTACATGTATGTCGTATTACTCAATACACAAGTATATTTACCCACAGTACAGGTATGTCGTATTACTCAATACACAGGCATATCTACCCACAGTACAGGTATGTCTTCTTACCCAATACACAGGTATATCTATCCACAGTTTATGTATGTCTTATTACCCAATACACAGGTATATCTATCCACAGTACATGTATGTCTTTTTACCCAATACACAGGTGTATTTATCCACAGTACATGTATGTCTTATTACCCAATACACAGGTATATCTATCCACAGTAAAGAAAGTGTAGTATTTCTCTGATAAAAGTAGACATAAGTTCTTAATAATATTTTGTATTACACCACCATCTACATCATTTTGAAACAGACTATAACCAAATCGTTATCAGGAGTGAAAATTGAAATGTATGCTAGATAAGACTTGGTAATTTAGAAATGTATGCTAGGTTAGACTAAACCATTTAAGAAAATACACGCCAGGTATGTAAAAACTAAGGTTTTTAAACACATTAACCTCCACTGACCTATTTTACTATCGATTTTTTTATCATCACTGTACGTCTGTTGGTTACCTCGCTCAACAGGGAGTTATTTATTATGTTCAACTGCAGGTCGAAACAGGTAGATCTACGCATTGCCGCATTGCTGGGCGTACCTAGAGCAGAAATTTGTTGATATTACTAACTAGTCAGCAGCATTGTCAAATCCAGCCGATTTTTTGTTTTAAAGTTCTGATCACACTTTTACAATGTCAGCAGGAAAGTGACAGATTTATCAGCAAAGCAAGAGGGAGTTCATCATGTAATTGTGAATTCCAGGGCTGGATTCTGAAGTGTGGAATGCAAAACTTGGATTCATCATCACAGTACCCCTGTGACATCAGTGATCGTGAGGTAGTTATTCCACAGTGTTTTTATATTGCTATAAGTTTAACAAACATATACTCCTGGATGGGACACTTATAAGTCAAGTGTTCATTTCTTTACATGACAAACTCTTATTAGTGAGTGTTTACTGATACCAATATATTAATACAAGAACAACAAACATCTTCAAGGCTGCAACAAATAATCTAGCTTTTCATCAAAATGGCAACCCCTAAAAGCCAAATTCCTCTCCGAATTAAAGGTCAAACGACATGTATTAACCACAAAGGGAGACAGCTAGAATTTTATTGTGAAAAATGTCAGGAACTTGTTTGTCCAAAATGCCTTTCTTCTATACACAAAACCCATCCAGTTAGTGAGCTAAGTGAAATCACTCCTCAGAAAGAACCAGACATTAAAAACTTTATAGACAGAACAGAAAAAAATGACCTTGTACAAATTGGAAAATACATCACCACTACCGATATCCTGCTTAAAGACAACACCAGTACTTTTGAGAAGCTGTCACAAAAGTTAAAAATGCAAACGGATAAATTAAAACAAGAGCTGGACATGCTAACAGCACAGACACTGTCTCTTTTTCACAAAATGGAAGAGGATAATACCAAGCTAATACAAAAATACAAACAGGACCTGGAGATGTACGAGAAGCACCTCAAACAACAGATTCAAGAATGTAAAGCAGCTCTCCAGCGTGGTTCACACTTACAGATTTATGATGCATATTGTGAGATCCATTCTCCTACATACAGTCTCCCTGTGGAACCTGTCCTGGGTACTGCCAACTTCACTCCAAACGAAAGTCCTCAAGATAACTTGAAAAAAGCCTTGGGAAAAGTTATCACCTCAGGTCAAGGTCAAACTTTATCTGACCAGGATCGGTCAGTCTCAACATCTGATGATCTGGAACAACCCTCTACACAACAACGGTCAGGAGCAAAAGTGAAGAAGGCAGTGACAACATACAAACTACTGCCACAGACCAAGGTGATGAAGAGGTGGAAGTCTCTATTCGGCATTAGTTCAATATGTCCCACCACTGATGGTCAGGTGTGGACCCAGTACTATAACACATTAAATCTCCTGGACAGTACGGGTAAAGTAATACAGGAGGTCAAACACAATGTCGGGATCAATGACATCAGTCTGTCGCCCACCACACACACACTGTGGGTCTGTGACAGAGACAACAACATCACGGAGCTGGTATCAGGGCGACTGCTACACAGATTCAGTACCATGAAGGATCCCTGGGGTATATGTATTACAGCCAGTAACCATGTCATTGTAGGGATGACCAAACACATCTCAAAATTTACCACAGATGGTAAAATGGTGTGTACTGCAATGACTAAAGGGACTGGGAAACCATTAGTGTGTACACCACTCAGGATTGCAGAATGTCCTGTCACACACAATATGGCAGTCGCTGAATTTAGTAGTGAAAGTGATGGTGGTGATGGAAACAAACATGTTGTTGTGATGGACACTGATTTCAAGGAGCTGTTTGTATATAGAGGTGACATTCCCAGTACATATAAACCAACACCACAAACAGAAGGTGGACCATTTAACCCCCGTGGTGTTGTGTATGACAGTGTGGGGAACCTGATCATAGGGGACCGGTACACCTGCAGGGTCCTACTCATCAGTGGAGTTGGTGAGTTCCTCAGGGTCATACACACAGACACAGAGGAAACATGGGCTGTAGGTGTAGACAGGGACGATGGCCTATGGGTATTGTTTGAGGGTTACAAAGTCAAATTACTACAGTACAGCAGCGTGTGACACCTGTAACCAAACAACTAGTATATCTAGTTACCATGACAATGACATGGAAATCAAAGACAAAGTAATCACCTAACGGTGTGTGGCATTCACAGGATTATTAGTAAATTGTCTCGACTTCAGATTGTGAGACATTTACAAGATTATAAGTAAAATATTTAGACTACAGATTGTGATACATTTACAGGACTATAAGTGACATGTCTAGAATATAGATTGTGTGACATTCACAGGATTTTAAGTAAAATGTCTAGACTACAAATTTTGTGATATTCACATGGTTATAAGTAAAATGTCCAGACTACTGATGTGTGATAGACATTCAAAGGATTTTAAGAAAAAAATGTCTAGACTATAGATTGTGAGGCATTCATAGGATTATAAGTAAAAAGTCTAGACTACAGATTGTGAGACATTCACAGGATTATAAGTAAAATGTCTAGACTACAGATTGTGAGACATTCACAGAATTATGATTTTGAAACCAAATGGCCTATACAACTCGACTACCAATCAACTACTTTTCAGTGTTGTTTGCGAACAAATCTGTGACCTTAAAAGTGGATCGTATATAATACTACTCTATACCTGGGTATAGATAATCAAAGTTTCCATTTGTTTAAAGGGACATCACGGTGAAGTGTATATTTTTTTCGTCTTTTTTTTATAATACTACATAAACATATCAAGTGAGACTCCTTATGGAAAATAGCAATCGGATTTGGCTGATATAGATTCATAAAAATGAATAATTTTAAGATAATCATCGGGATTTCCACCTGTCTGACCTGTGTTTTGTAAAATAAAGTTACAGGCAAAATATCAGTGTCTTGACTTCAAGTCATTCAGAGGAACCTGTTAAACGATTAAAACACATTTGACCCCTGTGACCTTGAAAGTCAAACATGGACATAAAGTTGAACAAACTTCATAGCCCTTACTCCCAGAATGCAACTTGACAAATTTCACCCCCTTATACCTTTTGTTTATGGAGAAGATGACTTTTAAAGATTTATGCACTATGGACCAGATGTGACCATAAAAGTGTATCAAGGTCATTCACATCAACAAGCAATCACCATGTATGCTTTAGTTATTCAGAAGAAGTCGTTTAAAGATTTCAATTTATTTGACCCCTGTGCCCTTGAATATGGGTAAAGGTCGTTTGTTTGAACAAACTTGCTAGCCCTTCATGCCAACATCCTTTTGGCCAAATATCATCACCCTGGACCTTTTGGTTATACAGAAGAAGTCGTTTTAAGGTTTTCAAGACAATTGACCCCTGTGACCTTGAAAATAGGTGAAGGTCATTTATTTGAACAAACTTGGTAGTTCTTATTTCCAGTTTGTTGCTCGCCAAATATCATCACCCTAGGCCTCTTGGTTATTAAGAAGAAGTTGTTTAAAGTAAAATATTGATGACGGACGATGGACGGACGACGGACGCCACACCACGGCATAAGCTCACTTCGGGCCAGGTAAGCTAAAAATCGTTGTACCGCGTCAGCTACGAAGCGAAAAGTTGCAAAATGGTCAAAAGATAGCACAAGGATATATTTACGGAATCATTATTGCAGGTGGAAAGTATTCAAAGAAGAAAATAACTGGCCTTCGGTTAAAAGCTGAAATGGAATCTACAGTATTTTTGTCCGAGTTTGAATACAGATGAACTTATTTTGTTATGTTAATGGTCATGTATCGGGGAGAGTTTACTTTGTGTTTCTATATATAGTAGTTAATGCGAAAGGAATGGATAAGTGACTGGTTAGTTTGATTTTGCTATGAGGCCCTCCAAGGGATAACTGTTGTGATGGCCAAGGCGTATTCTGTTCTCTCCTCTGTCGGTACTCGGGGTCAAATGAGACACTTGCGTTATTAGATTTACATAATTTATAATATTCCTGGGTTCAGTAAAATGGTATCATTTAATTATATTGCTGAATTGAAAGATTTTTTTGTAATTACATGCAAGATTTAGATTAGTACTAATATGAATACCTGACCTTCTCTGCCGGGACGATGCAATATATAAAACAAGGGGCCCATGGGCCTTAACGGACACCTGAGTTATGTAAAAGCTGATGTTATCGATGTTGCCAAATGAAAAAGAAATTATTTTGTAACAAATGTAACTTGAACTACATGTAATGCAAAAGTAGTGTGAAAGATCTGGGTAGTAAATGTACTATGTACAAATAGTGGTTCTGTCAGTCAGCTAACAGGACATGTCCCTTTAACTCAGTGGTAGAGCGTTGGCCTCCGTAACCTGGGGTCGTGGGTTCGATTCCAGCTGGGGCACCTCATTTTTCCACTTTCTATTTTTCTTTCCTATTACAACGATTTTTATTTTTTTTCAAATTGAAAAAGGTTACTGACTAAAAAGAAAACAGCTGTCCTATCAAATATCTAATATATTGATTCAACAATGAAGAGTTTTTGTGTATTATAATTTGCCA